TTCTACCGTGCCGTTGCGACAAATAATCATCGTCCATCGCCGGCAGGAAGTCGATGAGGAGCTCGACCACGAAGAGATTTTCGGTACGATAATCGTAGGGAAACTCCGGACGTCCATTGTGACAATGGCCTCCCGAGGCAGCGTGATAATTACCTGACGCGGAGTAATAATGTAGTAAACAGAAAAGAAGCGCTGAGACTACTGTCTTTATCCCGATATTAAAAAATCAGATATCATCTCGCTGACCAGCGAAATAAAAACGGCGAATCGCTGACGGTGACGTCAATCGGGAATCTAAAATGTGACGTAATTACATACGCAAGTGACGTCTTTTTATATCGGAGCGTTTTCATCTCGCGTTTTTTTTTTGCACGAGAGAAGAAGAGATATCGATATCGTTACTTCCTGCCATTCGTGACGCACCCTCAGAAGAAATCCTGCTGATCTACATTCGGAAACAATCCATTTCCTGCCTTTTTCCCGCCGGTTTTTCTCGGACATGGCGAAGGACGAGGGAGTGCAAAACAGGAAGAGCAAGAGCAAGTGAATGAGCGAGCGGATCTCGACGTGGAAATTGGAAGGAGAAGGATCGTCAGGGCGGCACCTGACCGGAAAGCGTCACAGTCGGCGCATTCAGCCTCGTTCTCTCCTTTCCCTTCTGCTATCTGCTTAGTCGACTTCTCTCTTTCTCTTTCTTTCTTTCTTTTTCTGTTTTCGTCCATCTTCTCCATGAAAGGGTTGTACGTTGTTTCCGACGTGCCTACTCGCAGCGTCAGGCGCACAAGAAAGAATGTTAAAGTCAAGATCAAATATTTGCGACAATATCAGTGCTAATTATAAGAATCTCCGACGTAGACTACGCAAATATTGTCAAGATAGGAGTTACGCGATTTGAAAGATTGCGATATTGCGTTTATCACAAAAAATGGCGAAAAAAGATGTATATTATTCGCGGGATTTTACGCATCGATACGATAGCGCAATGTCTATAATGCCTAATATGAACGGTGAGCACTAAAAGTGGGCTCTGGCGAAAGCAAGAATGAGAGGACGAAGGGAGAGAAAAAAAAACAAGAGAAAGAAAGAGAAGGAAAGAACGAATAGGTAGGTAAGGACACATAATAGCAGGATGTTACAACGCCCGTGTCCGGTACATAAGTATCTGGTTTCATAAATGAAAGTGTCTTCATTCATAGATACATATTTCCATACAATCGCGGCTCTATTGGTTCGTATCTTATGATATCGCCGTTATGTGTTGGCAAGTCCGACATATATCACATACGTAACACATAGCACCATTATATACAAATTCCTAGTAATGCGGCGCTACTGCTGCATTAATGATAAAGTTGTTTAGATATCGCGATATTGGGGCGAAAAGGGAGGAGCGCGCGCAAAAATGCGATTCGTGCGCGACGAATAGAAGGAATATATCCCGTCGTGTGTTACACGGTTTATACAATAGAGAATGAGGTATCTAGCGAATAAATATACGAATGTCTATGCGTATTCCCATTATAGAAATGCATTATGTTATCGTGCTGACATTTCTAAAAAAATGAAAAAATAAAAAAGGCAAAAGGAGAAACTCACGAAGGATCATGGGAATAGAATCGACCTATATTTATATTTATACAGTAAAGACACACGGGTCCCGTTCCCCCTCTTGCGTATATAAATCGAGCACGCGGCGAGGACGCACACGAGGACGCACCCTTTACGTAGGAAGCCATCCTTTTCCTAGCATCCACAGTCCACACAGGAAATCTCAGACGCACCCACCGAAACAAGCCCGCCCCCGTCGACCGGAGCCGATTTAATGTTTCGTTTCCTCTACGACGATAGGGGGCTACAATTTTATAGAAGCGTTGTTTTATAGCAGCAAACTTGAAAAAACACCAGCGGTTACGCTCGCGAGTCGACGCTATAATTAGATCTTGATTGAGGGCATCCCTCAAAGAAAAGGGGGAAAGAGGCCTTGAGGAACAGGTAGGGTGAAAAGGGAAAATGTAACGTACAAATTATGAGAACGTAAAAATCATCAAAATAAGTTTACAAAAAAAAATGTGCACAATCAAAATAGCGCTAAGAATTCCTTTTTCATAGGATATTTCACATCTTATTTTAAAGTATATATTTTATATAAAAATATATATATTTTTTTTTATTTAATATTTTAAAAAATATTTTAATATAAAATGTATTATTAAATTTCTATAGAATTCATATATGCATCAAGATTTGAATAATTTTCAAAAAAATTCTGGAACGGAAAAAAATCCGTTCTTTTTCAGAGAGAAATATCTATTTATGAATAGAAAGTTTTTGCTCACTTTGAGAAATATTTTATCCCGCGACTAGGTCTGTGGTTTAACGCGGAAAACTTGCGGCGAGTTGGCCGCGGACGAGGGTGGATAATGCGCGGGCACGAGATAGTAAATTTTATAAAATAATATCCTCCCATGCGACGCTGCATATTCATTTTTCCGGAGGGACCTCCCTACTGGGTCTCTCCCAGGGATAAAAGGGGAGGAAGAAGAGGGGGAGGAGGAGGAGGGTTTCTCGCCACTGTCCGGTTCGAGCCGCGTACATATGTATGAGCTTCTGGTGGACGCGCCGGTCATGCCTCGACGAATCCGGGGCTTTCTGCCCTGTATTTTCACCGACAACGCGCCCTTTCCTCTCACGAATAAACATTGGGACCGATTTCGAAAGCAAGAAAAGAAAAAAAATAGAGATAGGCAAACCGGACGATTAGCGTTTCCCATCTTCCTTCCGTGAAAACTACATAACGATACGTGGTTACTGATTATTCGAGAAAGAAATCGTTAAATATACTTGTCTAAATACGCAGATGTACGAAGAAATCGCGCCTTTATGCAAATGTCATTTTGAAATCGCTCGCGACTCTAAAGAAATCGCGCTTGTCAAGAAAACACAATTATTCTCGAGGAAACTACAAGAAACTATGTTTACTTTCACCCGCAATGCCACGATTATATCGTTTCGCTGTGCAAAGAAACGCTCCAGGAGTTTCCTAACGTTAAAAGACGAGGGAGACGCGAGACGAGTTTAATTAATAATTTAATTCTGATTCGCGGTTTCTCCAAAAATTTCTCGAAACACACCTGGTGATCTTACCGTGATACATATCGCGACACCCCGAGCAAAATTATTGTATACTAACGTGACGTTCTCGTCGTTAACAACGTCGGCTCTTCCTCGACATACGTCCAAGAAAAGCAACCCGCTCGCTCGCTTGCATTAAAGAGCAATTAGCCGCGGCTCGCGAGCACGCTGATGCCCGGAAGCGATAGAAGCGGGCCGCGCGTGCCACCCTTACCTCCTCTTCTTCTTCCTCGTGCACGTGTGTATGTATATCGTCTTGTACATGTTCCTACACTTACCACTTGGTAACACGTTTCGCACTCGCAAACTCGCCTGACTCCAAGCACTCGAATATAAGGACTTCCCTCTTTCTCGGTTCCACCGTCGTCGCTTTTTCTTCCTGTCTTTGTCGGCGAGGAGCGCGCCTCTCCTTCTTCCTACGTATAAACAAAATTGTTAGAGAATTGTTAGAAAATTTTCTAGAGAGAGAAATGTCTTCCTGTAAAATCGTGATGTCGTCCCATACAGCACCGAATATTGCGGTAATATTGCAATGTTATTATAATGCTACGACAATATTAATAATATTGCTGCAATATTCTGTGTTGTATGTGATTTTATGATTTTAATCTTCTCGATAGGCGATAATTATTTATAATTCAGACTTACAAATTAATTGCATTCAATTCAATTGATAAAAATTGTTGGAGGATTTAAATATTGTGAAGAAACAGAAGAAATGAGAAGCGCAGATATTGTCTTACGTGTCTTTAGTTCGACGCGATTTATCTCTTTTGCTCGCGCGTCTCTTCCTTCCTTCGCTTCTCTAGCGCCGCTTGTTCAATTACCATCGCAGATAATCATTATCGCGGAAACTGTATCGCCGTGCCTCATTGCCCCAATCCTTAATTAGCTGCCGGCCAGACGATAATTAGTATGAAGCGGTGTCGGACAGTGTCGGACGTGTAGATACATGTTGGCGAGAACGAGACGGTACTATGTGAAGTTTGTCCTCGGTTCTACAGCGCCATCTTTCACGCGCGGCAAAATTGATTTGACGCTTAAATTAATTATGTCTCCCCTAATTAATTTACCTCAATGGTTTTTATCGTTTTCCAGAACAGTTTTCAGGCGTTGCATCCGCTCGTTTATCGATATCTTATTTTTCTTTACAATATTTCTTGTATAAAAGTGTCTTCCAGTAAAGTATCGAATAGAAATAAAAAAAAAAATGAGAATTGTCTCCATAATTTATTCCAATAGTTTTTATATTAATTATTTTGAGAACACTTTTCACGCGTATATCCGCTCGTTTATATCTTATTTTTCTTTACAATGTCTCTTATGCAAAAGTGCCTTTCAATGAGGTGAGACATTGAATAAAGATTTGAAAAAAAAATTTTTTTTATGTCTCCCATAATTTATTCCAATAGTTTTTATTGTTTTCTAGAATACTTTTTACACGTTGTACTCGTTCAATTGTTATTTTCATATTCGATTGCTATATTCATCGCTATATTATTTTTATTTACAATCTCTTACGCAAAAATGAAGAATCAAAGAGATATTTAAAAAAAATAAGAATCATGTCTCTCCCATAATACTTTCTTATAAATATTCTTTATATATTGCATCTCCTCGATTTATCAATGTCTTATTTTTATTTACAATATCTCTTGTGCACAAATCTTCCAATAAGAAATCGAATAAAAAGATTTTAAAAATGAGATATTCTCAAAAGCAAACTTAAGATAAATTAATATAGCAAATTATGTCATGCAATACAATCTACAAATGTCGAATACACACACAGATTGTACATAGACGTGATATAGAATTATTTTAAACAAATATATGTAAATTAATTAGACATCCATATATATATATACTCTTATACTTCGCTTCAGTTCTTTCGGCTTAACGGCAATGATGAATCGAAGATCGCAACGTGCACGTGCGTGCGCAGTTAATTGTAATTTATACCCCGTCAACTTAGAGGCTTACATATATCACGCGCGTAGAGTAACTTCATTACGCAACTCTCTCGTTGGTTTCTGTGGCCTCGAATTAATTTTAAACGTTTATAATTAATCGTTGCGGCTTACCACCTCGAAATATGATTATCCCCTATGATTTCACACGAGAAGTTTTAAGTCTTTCTTCTTCTTTATGAATATTTACATTCCTTTCAAACGCACTCGCTCTTTTTCTTTCCATCCTTTTTCTCTTCCAATATTCCATCATATCCAGTTTTCGCAGAAACTTCCGAAAGATACTCCGTAGACGATGCTTCGCGTCGTCGTATAGCAATTTTGCGGGCAATCGTCTTCTCGTATCGTCTTTTCTCTTTTTCGCCGCGAGTACAACAATTGCAAGACCGTGGGCCGCCAGCAACCGGGCTTTGTCTCGCGCCGGTACCGAATCGGTGAGGGGAAAAAACGATGGCTGTGGATATGGGTATGAGTGCACGAGAAAGGGAAGATTCGACGATTATTCGAACGAGAGGCAGATATAAAGGGTCGGTCTCTCTCCTTTTCTCATCTTCTCTCCCATAAAGCGAAAACAAAGATGTATACGCGCCACTACTTCACTTTATGCTGATCGATTTGTGGTGATTTTATATCCTCGCCTGTCTATATAGCCCTATGTATCGGCAGGCCGTGGCGGATCGCTTCAAACGGGCCGCGATACTTTATATTTGTGGTATAAACGTGAAATTGAGCTTTACATATTCTGGACAGAAAGGGCTCAAAGTGCTCTAAAATGCGCGCAAGAAATTTCTTTGTGCTGTACGTGGAATAGTCGCTTCGGTCGAAACATTCTTAGTATCGATATCGCCGTCCTGCGTGGAATAAAAAATTCAATAATTATTTCTTCTCGATATAAAGATTATCGCGAAATCATACGACAATGCATTTTTTATTATAATATTGGAATTGTATTAATATGTATGTATTCCACATTTTTTTTTTAATTTTATATATTTTAATATATTCTATTTCCATTTATATATAAACAATAAAAAATATATATTTGAGAAGGATATAGTATATAAATTTATTAAATTATGATATCGCATAAATACATTATTATTTTGCTTATACGATTATAACCCGCACTTTGGGAATATTTTTTATAGATCTTTATCTTATTTTTATAGATCTTTTGGGAATATCTTTTATAGATCTGTTGTATTTTTTTAGTCATATATTTTTTAAGTCTAGAAAATAAATGTTATATTATATCAAATAATCTCTCTTCACAATAATTACACATTGAACATGTAAGTACACTTAGGAATTGCATATTTTTTTAAGGCTTATACACTATGCGTTGCACATATATATTCTCCCACCCAGTCTCTCTTTTACAATAAAGCATAAATCTTGTATCATATAAGAAATCAAGGAAGTGTCCCTCATTATTATATTATTCAGAACGCACATATCGAGAAATCTATGTTATAAATAATATATATGAGAGCTACCTCAAATAGGACATTTGGACTCGAAGGAATCTTCCGGATCTGTAGAAATGTCTTCTGTTGTGAGAGCAAGAATTTCTTCACAGACGCGTTTATAGACCCACGCATCACCTTTTAATCTTTTTCGGCGAATACCAACTAATCGTTTTCCATCTGGACCTATCTCCAAAAGGCAGACTTCAAGCTCAAAGGAACAGGAATTTTGAGAGGAGACTGACTTAGACGAATTTTTCTTATCTTCCGAAAACGACTCTTCAGTCTCTCCTTGTAGAATAAATCTACACAATATATAATACATAATTTTTGATAACACAACTATGTAGAAAATGTATCAAGTATTAAAACAAATTTAGAATTACCCTTTCTGACGACACATTATACCCTTTCGTCGAAGTGCTCTTCGCAATTTCGAGAGGACATGCTTTGGACAACCGCTGCACGTCGCGGACACATTAGATAATCCCTTTGAAACGAAAAAACATTTACCATCATTCACGATAAAATGATTTCTTTTGACAATATTTTTATAAGTTTATTACTGTTAATATACCTTTCCTGACAGTACATTTGGTTCCTCGGGATCTATATTTTCATTCTTCACTCGTCTCTTTGGTGTGAGAACATATCTCACTCGATTCAATCCTCGTTCTAATCCCATTATAACTTTTCTTGCACTCCCGGGTGTAGATGTTTGTGAAGTTCTAAAAACAAATATTATATTTCAAATATTATATATCTATATATTACATTATTCCTATATATCACTAATTCACAAATTTTTCTTACCTAGAATCTGGTGTTAAACATTGTGTAGGAGTAGTAACTGATTTATTTTCGGGCGGTCTTTTTGCTGGAACTATATAAAATTATAAGTAATCGAAATCATAAACACAAAATATTATTGACAAAGAATATAAATGAATATATATAAGATATACTATGTATATAAGTTTAATATACTTTCGAGTAGTGAGGATTTAAATGTAGTAGTGCTTGAGGGATGCTGTATCTTCTAAGAAGTTTTCAAGAAGAGGTACACTGGGATTCTTAAGTTTAAATTGTGTTTATTAGCAAGTCGTTCCTCTTTTCGAGGTAATTATCTGCTTTTCGCGCGACTACTGTAATTTATGACGGTCGGAAACTTTCATTAAAGTTTTAATTAGGTGGTGTGTGCTAGCATCACCCAATTAGAAGTAAAACTTTAGAAAACGCACTAGGAGACTAATTGCGGCTGCAATACGTTCGATAAATGTTTATTGTATGTAAAATATACATACTTTAAATAATAGTTTAACATTGATACATTAAAGAAATACGCAAAAAAATTTCTTTAAAGATTAAACAAATCAAAGTCACAATTAAATTCATTAAAAATTTGAATCTATTTCTTGATAAAAAAAACATGCTACTAAAAATTAGGATGTTACAATGAAATGTAACGATTGGAGAATGACGAAATACTTACTGGGTGATATATCATCAGGTTCTCTGCTTCGTAATCTTTTTCGTGCTGGTATACATGGTGCTGTGAAGTTATTTTCATCACTTTTTTGGGGCAGAAGATTATAAGTGACATCAACCACGGGAGATAGCTTATTATTTATTTTACTTCTTGGAGAATGATCGAGTTTGGTTATAAAATTGTTGATTACTGCTTCGCGTTGTGGAAAACTGGTACCATTCTATACAAAAATAAAATATGTATCAATTTAATATATCAATTTCATAAAGAAATATACCATTGAAAAGAAACATACCATTTCTGGCTTAAGATGAGATTTTGTTGCTATTTTTAATGAAAGTCCACGTAATTTTCTATCAAGCAACAATAGATATGTAGCTGTTCTATAATCAGTCCTATCACTCCGCATAAGTTTCTTCCATATGTCTGTATTACTCTCACCACAAATAGCAGACATAGTGCTCAATACTTCGTCATCTTTTTCAAACTATATTTAAACAAAATAAAACTTATAAAATATTTATATCTATTTATGAAATCAATTTTTCTACTTTGAAAAAACTCTTACTTTTGTTTTATGAATAAATACTACAGGCTTCAAAGAATTTGATGTAATCCATGGATGATGACATAATTCATGAATAGTAATTCTCTTTACTGGATCAACTTGTAGCATTGATTTGATTAATGCTTTACTGTCATGAGAAAGCCAATATGGTTCCTCATATTTGCCACTCTGGAATAATACAATTTACTTACTTGTGCTATAATGTATAAATGACAAGTGAATAACTTACAAGTATCTTTTTGTATAAATTCTCTAAACTATTGTCATCAAAAGGTAAAAAGCCACATAATAAAGCATAAAGAAGAACTCCCATGCTCCAAATGTCTACTTCTGAACCTGCAGAAAAAAAATTTTGTATATTAAGTATTAAATAATAATAAAATTTGTATATTAAGAACACTTTAAAAGTTTATGTACCTAAATATTTCTTCCCCATTATGAGCTCTGGTGCTGCATAAGTAGGAGAACCACAAGAAGTATATAAATGTGCTTGCATTCCCATTTTGGGTTTTGCGCATAGCCCAAAGTCAATTAATTTTAAATTTTCTTCTTTATCCAATAAAACATTCTCCTATTAAAAAAGATGTATTTAATAAATCTAATTCATTTATCTAAGCAATGTAATTCATATAACAATTATTGTAAGAAACAGAAAATATATATGCTTACAGGTTTTAAATCTCTATGAGCATATCCTAAATTGTGCATATATGCAACAGCAGAAATTATCTGGCAAAAAAACCTTCGAGCTTCAATTTCGGGCAACCTGTTTTTCTCAACTGCAACATAAAGATATTGCAATATTGTTAAGACTTTCTTATGAGAATAAAATATTTTCCAGATTATATTTAGAGATATATATTACCTATATGATCAAATAGTTCTCCACCGGAACAATATTCTAATACCATAAAATAATGATTCTCTGTCTCTATCACTTGATACAATCTACAGATATGTTGATGCAACAGTGTCTTGAGTGCTTCCACTTCAAGCTTCACTCTTGGTAAATCTTCCTGAAATAAATATTATACGGTGAGATTGTATTTTGATAAACAAAAGAGATGAAGAATTTTGTAGATACTTGACACAGGTAGAGGAGAAAATTGTCATAAAATTTTGAGCATTCTTTAGAGATAATAAAAATTATTTTGACATTTATAATCTCCGACTTACGCCTAACGTCGTCTTCTCCATAATCTTGATGGCAACCTTCTCACCGGTAGCGACATGAGTTGCCAATTTGACTTTGGCGAAACCGCCGCTACCGATTGTCTTTTCCAGATCGTACAATCCTTTAAGGGCGGTGTATCGCACCATCCTGAAGCCCGGCCACGTGAAAGACGGATCATAAATATTAAAAATATATCCGGGTCTTGCCTTTCAACAACGTAACCGATCGCATACACCCAACTTTTTTGAACTGCCGTAAACAACTTTCCGCAGCCAATGGCGAGTCCTATTGCTGGCGGCGCCGGTTATCAGTGATGCACATACGCACGCAGTATGTGCCAGAGAGAAAACTGAGAGATGTCATGGCCTGCTTTTAGGTGATCCCTGAAAGCGATATTCCCTCTATGGACATTGAAAACGTGAACATGAACTACAAAGCCAATGTCCATGAATGTTCTCAGAGGGTATCATGTGCACAATTTCTGGTTTCGTTCCGTGCTATGTGCACGAAATGTCGGTAACACCAGAGTATAACAAGCACTCATATAAATTGATAGTAAATAAATTATGCAATCGTGAAAGATACTGTAATCTTCTAATGTAATGTTCAAAGATGAAATAAATATTTTTCTATATTCATTGCCATGTTTATATATTTTTATTTACAAAACACGAAATGCCTGCTGTGGAATAAAAACATTTTTAACCGTTATTTCTATAAATCTTAATTAGCAATAAACTGATCTTTGATTTATTAATCACTTTTTTAATTATTTAAAAAAGTTATTATATTATTAATTATTTACTTATTTATTTATTACTTATTTAATTATTAATACATGTATAGAATTTGTTAAATTAATCACTGATTGTTCTAAAGTTTTTATAATTAAGATTCGAAAAATATAGTTGCAAAATATTTTAAATATCTCTTCCTTTATATAAAATATAAAGAATTCATATGTTCCATTCTAATATAGTCAACATTATTTATATACTTTTATTATAATTTTCTTACCAGCATAATATTTTTATGCTTAATATTTTATATAATACAATGTACTAAATTATAAAATTTAATATAATTACAAAATAGTATTACTATTAATAAATAGGTTGTATTCATACTGTCTTTTAATTTCTAATCATTTCCAATCATTATGCATTTCTATTATCTATTTCTATTATCTATTATTTTCTTCTTCGAGTTCTTGGATTATTATGGTTCATTGTATATTCCTTGGTGTTAAAATCATAGGGATTATCATCATTTGTCATGTTTATTTTTATTCCTTTCTGGAGCCCATCGAAATATTTTCTATGGACATTTGTTCTCTCTCGAGTATAGATATTCAAATCACTCAGAGAGAGAGAAAGAGAGAAAGAGGAGGAGAAAGGATTTGAGATATTCAAATCACTGTAGTTGTCTTTTTTCTATTTTCTCAATTACTGTCTCTTTTTCTTTTATTTTATTCAAAAATATTAATATAATTAAAAATAACATATATATAATTTTGATATCTTTCTTAGTCTGATTCTTTCCCTTCGACTTGTCCGGCATAGGTAACCCTAAGGCCGGCATTCATAATTCATTCTTATATTTAAGATCGTTTTAAGTAAGTTGGAAAATACAACTATTTTACTAACTGATCGGAATCTCAAGACGCGATCTAAGATCATACTTAAGATTATTTTAAATATAAAAATAGTCTACATATATGAATATCGGCGTATTAAACGTTACTGCCGGCATAGCTCTTAGGTTCATTAGAGTACTCAAACCTCATCCGGCAAATGCCTCTGTAAGGTGGAGATACGAGGAAACGATTTTTTTTAAATTTTATTTTTATTTTCTTTCAATACAGGGTTTAATACAAAAGTGAATGTAAAATATAATTTGAAACTTAATACAAAATAATTTTTATTTATTACATGGAATAATTTAATACACGAAAATGTCTCTAAAACATACATATAATATAAAATTTACTAAATATTTTTATATAGTCCAGACAAGCCCGATTAGCGATAATTAATTATGCAACATTTATCATTGATAATCGATATGCGATAATAGAATTTAATAAGTTTTATGTAACGTAAATATATATAATCGTGATTAAAAGAATCATTAATAAAATTATTGATCATTTCTTCGATTGTAGAAGAAAATATTTGCATTATTAGCGCATTTTGTGTAGATTATCAAAGGAAATATTCAAAATACGAAAAAATAAAATAAGCTTCAATGTAAATCAACAATTAAATTACAAAATAAATCGCGATTTAAAATTCGCGAGAAAACGCGAATAAATAAATCGATAATAATAGGAATATTCGATTACGAGAAATATACGTATAATTTTTATAATATGATAATCAAAACTATCAATAGATACGCGCGCGACATAATTATTATCACACAAATGATGATACACGAAGATATTTTGATAAACATTTGTGATCCGCATTGTTTATGAACAATTATTACTTTAATGATATTTATAGAATAAAATATAATTCCCGCGACTCTTTATCTCGTTTTATTTTTCAATTATTTAAAATTTAATTATTTAATTTAGAATCAAAACGCACAACAAAACAATCGAATCATAAATCGAAATAATTAACATAATAAAAAGCTTTGCGATACATGAAATTAACAAATATTATTTAATTAATCCATGTAATCTAAAACTTTTAGACACTTTAACATTTCGTGTATATGTTAAAGTACGTAAAATATATCAGCAGTGAATGGATAATAACACGATCGGCTTTGGCGGCGTATGACGCGCTGTGTTTACATGTACGGTCTTGATATCATTCACACGGCAACATTCGAAGAGTAAGGTGCGAAATACTTCGTATATTATTAAATTTTTTCTCTAACGATAAAACACAATTATGACTAGTATTAAAACATAATTCGCTATGATAATTATAATTAGTACTTGCTAAACTTTTAATTGTAATTACTACGCGATCGGGAATGCCGTGCAAAATGTCTCGCGATTTTTGCGTATACTAATATTAATTAACTAATCTTAATTAATCTTGTTTTCAGGAGTAAAAGTGAGTGCAACGAAAAAATAGCGAAGAAAAGGAAAAGCAAGTCTAAAAAGCACTGGGCCACGTACTAAGCAACATTATCCGGTAAATAGTTTATAAATTATTTAACATTTTATCATTTATATTCAGATTATATATATGTCATTTATATTCAGATCATATATATATTGCATGTTTTCTCAATAACGATTCTCTCTCTTTCCCTCTCCCTCTCTCTCTCTCTCTCTCTCTCTCTCTCTCTCTCTCTCTCTCATTGTAAATTATCTAAATTATTTAAGTTTTTAAATTATATTAGTATAACATATATCTAAAATATTCTGGATTATCTTATTTTAATATACTTAAAATATCTATAATAAAATATTCTTATATTATTTAACACTTTTACATAGATAGTAATATTTCATAAACTGCTTCACAATAATATATTTAAATATTTTATGCATAAAAGATTCCACAATGAATAAATTGTTTAATAAATAATCAATTTTAATCAATCAATTAAAACACTTCTATAATTCAACATTCTATGCGTGTGTATTTTACAGAATATAAAATATTTCGACAACGAATTATCAATAAAATCATGACTTTGGCAAGAGTAGTGCGTTGTTTATATATTACAGTTTTGCTATCATTTGCTCGGTGATATTCAAGCAATAAATAATGATACGAAACGTTTCGTATACTAATTAATTGTTTAAATAATAAATAAACATTTAATTAATCTATAAATATAAAAACTTCTACAATTTAATATTTTGCGTTACAATCAAACAACTAAACTTCAAATTTTTCTAAAATGTGAACATAAATTAATTATTAATTAAATGATTGCTATCACAACTTTATTTATTATTTTAATATTTTCATTCTTATAATTCGTATATTATACAGCATATAATATGCGTATCAGTAGCATACGCATTGCTGTAGCAAGTAGCGAATAAAATTTTAATCTCGTGTAAAGGTAAATCTCATGTTGCTCTTTTATCATTTAAGTACGTATATAAGTATGATTATTTTGTATGATTATTGAGAGTTTCGTGCAAAGTGCGCCACGTATTTGATTAATTATAATTAAATCGTGTTTTCGTGAGTGAGTGAATGCCACAAAAAGAAATAACGAAAGATACATAAGAGAAGAAAGGAAGTTTAGAACATACGGAGTAAAATGAAGTAACATGAAGTAAAACAATCGAATAATATATGCAAATAATTAGCATAACGAAAGGCCCTGTGACAAATTGTTTAATAAATAATCAATTTTAATCCATAACTTAGAATGCTTCTATAATTTAATATTTCACGATAATGTACAATATATTTTATAATATATAAAATATTTCGGTAACGAATTATCGATGACACGATGTTCGATTTTGGCAATATAAAATATAAACAGTAGCACGCTATACGGTGCCGCTTTATCATCATTCGTACGGTGACTCTCGAGTAATAAAGTAGTGGTAAGAAACGCTTTGTATATTGTAATTTTTTTACTAAACATGATTACAATTAGTATGGAAACATAATTTACTATAAATTTAAATAAAAATTAATTAACTAAAAATTAATTAGCGACATCAAACGGTATAGCAACGATAAATCTTTATCAAATCGCAATCATTGATTGTCGCGATTGAAAATTGAAACAGGTTATACATAAAAGAGGATAAGAGATTATGTTGTGATATTTCGATCATTGATACTTATTACAATATTCCTCTATAATATTAGAATATAATATTAGAATCAAATATATTTCGATTCAATGCTTTAAGTTTTCTTAATTTTCCTAAATACACAATTTAATCGAAAATCGATGAAATTATAGGGATTTAAAATATTAAATAAACACTTTGATAATTGCGATTTTTACGGACTATAATTATTATTTTAATAATTAGAACACAAATATATTTTATCCGTGTTACTTTATAGTTCTACTTGATAATCTAAATCTAATTTGAGATGTGAGAGAACGCGAAGTAAAACAATCGATTTATAGAAGCAAATAATTAGCATGACAAAAGAATGTGTGAATTGTTTGTTAATAATTAATTTTAATCAATAAATTAAATACTTTCATAATTTAATATTTTACGTTAATGTATATTTTATAATATATAAAATATTTCGGTAACGAATTATCGATAACACAATGTTTGATTTTGGCAATATAAAATATAAACAGTAGTACGTTATACCGTGCCGCTTTATCATCATTCGTACGGTGACTCTCGA